CAGGACAACGTCGGAGGCGCCTTTCCCGAGAACACGTCAAGCCAGCACAGTGTACTTTGCAAAGGTACCAGCATGTGGCTGTACATCGTACGTTCCCAAGTACTTTTATACAAAAATAGATATGAAATGTACAATGTCATATCGTACATTGCACGATACGTACATCGTACGAGCAAAAGCTGGTTGCCATCATTCCTCGATTTGCCCGATGCGCTCGACCGACTTGTTCGTTCGGCCGCCGGCAGCGCCCCCCAAGATTCATCCGGACGCGCTCGTCAAGCCCCTCACCAAGAGTTCGAGCCTGATCTAGCGGGGGCGTGCCCGACGCATGGTCTTCTCGTTCTCAGGACGTCGCTCATCATCTTCACGGCGCTGATTGTGGCCAACCGCGATGACCCGCGCTTCCCGACCCAGCCGCGCGTGCAATGGCTGCGCATCACGTCTACCGGGTGGATCACATGCCCGCCCGCGCTCGACACGACCACGGACGTCGACAACGTCGTCTTTCGGTCGCCCTCTGGGACGCCGCTCCAACACAACCGCGTCGCTGTCCTGACCAAGACCTCGACGTCCAAGGGTCATACGACGGATATCAACTTTGACGGCGCGACGCAAGACGAGCATCCGACGCTCGCAAACGCCCTCGTGCTTTCCGATCGCAAGGTCACGGTGCGCGGGCCTGTGCCGTCGCATTGCTTCTGGCTGGACGCCGACATGATCTGCTACGCGATCACGCTCGGTACGCTGGCCCACCAACTGGACTTCACGGACGTCATTCGCGCAACCGCGCGGTCGTTTGGCGCATTCAAGCTTACGACAGGGACGATCGGGAGCTCATCCGGCGGTGCTGCCATGCGCTTGTTTTCTGGCTACTCGCCCTTCTTCAAGACGGTCTTGTCGAGCTCCAAGAAGAACAACAACAGAACCAAGCGCCAGAAGGTCCAACACGACGAAGCGGAGGCAGAAGAAGCGGCGCTGCCCGCGGTCGACGAGTCGCTCGACATCGGCGGCATCCGCGACCTCGAGGCGCGCCTGGCCGCCAGCGAGGCCGAGCTCGAGACCGCTCGGAGCTCTCTGCTGCGCATGAGCATCAGAACGGACGCAGCGCTTTTCAAGACGCCGAGGAAAAGGCAGCGCCTCGACCATTACTCGTCCCCTCGACAGGGAATTTTGGA